TTCCTATCGCGTCGCTGCATTTGCGGACGCGTGCGTCCGTCCGTACCTCCTGACCTGGTCCGTCCGTCCGTCCGGCGCCCAGTCGTGGGTCCGCCCGAACGAACGCGGGCAAGGTTCGCGTCAACGAACGCATTAGAGGAATCGGCCGGAGCCCCTTGTTTTTCCCATGAGGGTTGCCCAGGGCGCCAGCTGCGCTGGCGAACCCTAAACCCTAAACCCTAAACCCTAAACCCTAAACCCTAAACCCTAAACCCTAAACCCTAAATTTTAGAGGCTGCGCCTTGTATGAACGGCCTTTAGCGGCGCAGCCGAGGTGCGCCAGCGCAGCAATTGGTTATGAAACTTAGGACTTGGGCTTATTCAAATGAGTTTATTTAAATTCCTTGGGCTTTGTATGTCAATGTACTTAAACCCCACTTGGGGCTATACTTGTGAATTCATTTAAACCCCGCTTGCGGTTATGTAGGTCCATTCAATTACACTTTGCCTGAGGCTGTATATGTCAATCTATATAAACTTCGCTCGGAGCCATGTATGTCTGGGCCTATATATGCCAGTCTATTTCAATCCGGTTTGGGGCTGTGCATGTCTTAAACCCCGTCTGGGCCTGTGTGTAAGAATTCACTATAACGGTGATTGCGCCTATGTATGTGACTTTACTTAAACCCGTCTGGCCCTATGCATGTCAATTTACTTAAACTCCGTTTGGGGCGAAATATATCGATTTAGTTAAACCCCGCTTGGGGCTATGTATGTCAATTTACTCAAACGCCTGGCTTCACATGTCAATTTACTTAAACACGGTCTCTTGCTTCGCCGCTTCATATGTCAGTCTACTTAAAGCCCGTTATGGCTACCTATAATAATGTACTTAAACCCCGTCTTTGACTTCATATGTAAATATACTTGAACCCCGTCTCTGGCTCCTTATATCAATTTACTAATTCCCGTCTTTTACTACATATGTCAATTCACGCAACCACCATCTTTACCTCCGGAAAGGTGTGAATACATTGAAGTGAAAAGCACCCGGAAAGATTTAAGTAAAGTGAAGGTTGAAGAGCCCGCGGGAAGGTTTCAAGTGAAAGGAAACACAAGCCCCGCAGAGGTTTAAGTTAATTGAATTGAAGAGCTTTCCGATATTTCAACTGTCTTAAACCTCTGCGTGCAATGACTGCCCGGTTTCGTGCGACTGGCTCCAGACCCACTCGCCCCGTGTCTTCAATGGCAATATATTATAGGTATAGGAGAAGGTTTACACTTTATTCTAGGTTTCATGTACGTACATATATCGATAAATTTATAGATGCACAATATGTGCAAAGATTTCGATTTAGCTACAATGAACAAGCTGGAAAATGCAGAGATATACTGACACAGACACGAATCTAAATCATACATGTGTATAGCTGTATATATGTATTGAAACGAAAAATATATTCAGATATGTTCATATATATATATATATATATATATATTTATGTGACATATATACATATATGTATATGCAGAAAAAATTGAAAATATCTTGAAATAAAGAGAGCCACACAGCATAGATCTAGGTATAAAAGACAGAAATGTGTGCATATGTAGTATGTATGTATATATGGCAGAGATATTTGCTATAATTACAAACAAAGACTTAACTATAAATCAATATATAGATACAGATGAAGATATATACATATATACAGATTCAGATATAGATATGGACATAGATATAAACATAGCATACGTGCATGAATTGTTAGAAATATCTGCAAATAAATTCGAATAGCATATATAGTACATGGCTATCTGTGTATATAAACTGAACCAGATTCACATGTATAGTATAGAAATCATTATTATCAACATGTGTTTGTCGGTATGTACATATATACATATATGTAGCAATATAGATATAGCTATGGATATGGGGATAGATATAGGTATAAATATAGGTTTAAATATACGTATAGATATACGTATAGATGTAGGTTCGAATATAAGTATAGATATAGGTATAGATATAGGTATAAATATAGGTATAGATATAGGTACAGATATAGGTATAGGTATAAGTATAGATATAGGTATAGATATCGGTATAGGTATAGATATACGTATAGATATAGGTATAGGTATATATATATATATATATAGGAATAGATATAGATATTGACATTAGTATTGACACACACAGAGATATAGATGCAGATACTAGTATAGATATCGATGCAAATAGAATATAGATATAGTTAAGATATAGATGCGGATAAAGATATAAGTATAGACAAAGGTATAGATATAGGCAAGACAGGCACAGACATAGATATAGACTTAGACACAGACCTGCATGCAGATATAGATCTAAGTGAAGATGAAGACATACAGGCATGAACTAATTCAAATCGATAAAACCATGAAGATATAGATATGGGAGCAGATATTGAAACAGACATAGATGTAGATATAGTCATGCAATTATATAAAGTTAACTCCGAAGTTCACCGCATTTGAGGAACTGCATGCACACATAAGCAGACAGAACGAGGTACCGATGCTCAGACATGCGAATATAAATGCAAACAGATGATAAATGCCTAGAGATGGCCGCAATTGACTTCAACGTGGCCCCCCAAAGCTGATTACTTTAATTTACTAAAACCCGGTTCCTGTTATGATCTCGAGAAGAACTGGTGCGGATTTAAGCTTGCTTTAGCTTTCGATCCGCGTTGTCCCAAAACTACATCTTCAATATGACTCGTCATTTGCAAAGTATATGCGAGGTTAAGAAAATATATCACATTTACATATACATATATATATATATAGAGAGAGAGACATGTAAATGGAACGATAGGCAGATACCTAGGATTTTATACAGACATACGGGCTTATCTACATACATACATATATATATACATGAAAAGTTCACATATGAATCTATAGCCAGAGAGAACATACACAGATACAAAAAATAAAGACATGTAGATACATACATAGATATACAGATATACAGATATTCATATATATATATATATATATGTAGGCAGCTGTTTGTATACAGAGACAAATAGAAATATATTTATGGGTCTAGATACATCCACAAATATGAGCATCTAAAAATAAACTACGATATACATGCAGCCATAAACATATACTAATCTAGATAATTTATCTATGATTTTGGCTTATATTCATACATATGTATATACAGCTATGCACATATACATATAGACAGAAGTAGAGATACAAACATTAATGTTATCAATATACGCTACATAAAATTATAAACTTCATCGCATAGGGTGCATGTTTGAAAGTTATTACATGTATACTTAAACTTTCAAACCTGTGTAGTGTTGCACCATTCCGCCTCGGCCGGTGGCTTCCGCCCCCGGCCTCGGCGGAAACTAAACTCTCTGTCGTAGCATCCTTATCATTTTATTGAACAGATCATTGGAATGATATCAATTGTTCTATGTTTGGAATATACTCGAACTTTTAAACCTATGTAGTCTTGCAAGTAGCCCCGTGTGGACGACAGCTACTCTGAAATTCATACTTCTACTACCGAAACACAAACAAATAAGAAAACTTAACTTGTAAACAAAGAAAAGTCCCTACGATTTTTTTTACCATTCCTCAACTTGGGTTTTAGGTTTTGTAAGCGTTTGTCTCACTCACTCACTTTCATTCAACCATTCTTCTTCACTCCTTCTCACTCGCTGATTCTCATTCTCTCATGTTCACTCGCTCTTTCTCATCACGCGCTCGCGAACACTCACGCCCCCGCCAAAACAAAATCGATCTTAAATCTTCATTTCTGTGTTTTCACGCGTCGCCGAAACAAATTTGGTTCGGCAACTGTCGTTTTTGGGATTCTAAACCCCGTCCGTCCGTCCGTCTGTCCTTCCGTCCTTCCGTCCGTCCCGTCCGTCCGTCCCCGTCCATCCGTCCGTCCGTGCGTCCGTCCCCGTCCATCCGTCCCCGCCCGTGAATCCTTCCCCGTCCGTCTGTCCGTCCGTCCCCGTCCCTTCTGTCCGTCCGTCCCCTTCCGTCCGTCCGTCCGTCCCCTTCCGTCCCCCTCCCCGTCCCTTCCGTTCGCTCCCTTCCCTCCGTTCCGTCCTTGTCCGTCCGCCCGTCCTCGTCCGTCCTCGTCCGTCCGTCCGCGTCCTCCGTCTGTCCCTGTCCGTCCGTCCGTGGTCCGTCCGTCCGTCCGTCCGTCCGTCCCCATGTCCGTCCGCGTCCGTCTGTCCGTGTGTCCGTCCCGTCCGTCCGTACGTCCGTCCCCGTCCATCCGTCCGTCCGTGCGTCCGTCCCCGTCCATCCGTCCCCGCCCGTGAATCCTTCCCCCGTCCCTTCTGTCCGTCCGTCCCCTTCCGTCCGTCCGTCCGTCCGTCCCCTTCCGTCCCCCTCCCCGTCCCTTCCGTTCGCTCCCTTCCCTCCGTTCCGTCCTTGTCCGTCCGCCCGTCCTCGTCCGTCCGTCCGCGTCCTCCGTCTGTCCCTGTCCGTCCGTCCGTCCGTGGTCCGTCCGTCCGTCCGTCCGTCCGTCCGCCCATGTCCGTCCGTCCCTGTCCGTCCGCCCGTGTCCGTCCGCGTCCGTCTGTCCGTGTGTGTCCGTCCGTCCGTACGTCCGTCCCTTCCGGCCGTTCCTGTGATTGTCCGTTCGTCCATCCGTCTGTCCACGTGTTCAATCAGGCGTTTGGCGGCTTTCAATTTGGCATTTGCGGTCTCCACTTTGGGCTTTTGGTGATTTGGGTATCGCGTTTGCCTTGTAATTGAACGAAATCACAAAAACAAATCTGTTTCTGGAATTGTCGTGACCTGGTCCGTCCGTCCGTCCGCCGCCCGTTCGCTCGTCTGTCCGAACGAACGCGGGCGAGGTTCGCGTCAACGAACGCATTAGAGGAATCGGCCGGAGCCCCTTGTTTTTTCCATGAGGGTTGCCCAGGGCGCCAGCTGCGCTGGCGAACCCTAAACCCTAAAACCGTCTCCTTTGCAAACGATCTCCGATGGAACAGGAGATCCTGATGGAATTTGCTGGTCTGGCCATGGTTCGGCACTCCTTTTCCGGTCACACGCTTTTCGCGCCCATACCTGGGAGCCAAGCTCGGAATTCGTCTCGGGATCAGTACCTAGTCTACCAAGCGTGCTTGAAACGACCACGTGATGAACTTGGTTCCGCTCGAGGATTGAGTTTCTTGCAATGGCTGCGACACTTCCGCGTGGTAGACGTTGAGAAGCAGATAGTCGCCAAAAGAAACGCTGCCGGGCCAGCAAGAGATCACGATTGCGGGGTCGCCATCACCTTTCCATTCGAGCTCTTGGATATTTTCATTGGTGCCTGGGCAGCGACTTTTCTTCCGAACATGGAAGAATTCCGGCTGTTTCCGGAGACAGATGAAGACGCAAGGAACTATCCGGCAAGTCTCGCTGCAGAGAGATCTCGTCGCTCCTCTTTTGTCGCCCCCGAAGGGTGCAAGCACTTGAAGGCTGTTTTGTGTCTGGACGAGTTTCAACTCTATCGCAGAGACTCGCTGGTGTTCCATCCGAATGTTGGAGAACTTCTGTCAAGAGTGGAAACAGATCTCACTCTGAGAGGACTCACGGCAGACCGCATTGCCACTTTCAAAGCCAGGATTCATGCATGTGCTCTTTTACTCTGTGCCTTCCGAGATGGACGCGAAGATCCAGGATTGTGGCGAGCCCGTGCGGTACCCGATCCTCCTAGCCGCATTTGGTCGCCGGAGCAACAGCAGGTGTTGGAGCACGTGAAGCGAGGAACCAGCATTAGCGATGCCGCTGAAATGACCCAGGCATGCCGAGTGTTGCAGGTCGCCGGCGGGCCAGGCACGGGCAAGACGGAGGTCATCATTGCGGCGGTGCGCCAAGCCCTGCAAGACGGCTGTCGCGTCTTGATTGCAGGTCCAATCGGTCTCCTGGTGTCCATGTACAGATTGCGCTTGCCCAACCTCCACAATTTGACCATGGAGACGGTGCATTCCGCTTTTCGAATTACCAGAGATGCCGATGCAGCTTACATTCCGCCAGGCCGACTTCGTCAGTACGACCTCATTGTTATTGACGAGGTCAGTCAGATTGAAGCGGCCGTGTGGAGGAAACTGCAGACTGGCCTTGGAGAGTTGACGCCATGTCCATTTCTGGTGTTCGTAGGAGACTTCCAACAGCTTCAGCCGCTGCAAGGAGGACCTGCTCTGCAAACTGATCTGGATCGAGAGCGAGCCGAAGGTCACATCCTGTATGTGAAGCTCGAGCAACATGAAGCGGCTCGCTCGGTGGACCCGACCATGCTCGCTTTCCTGGAGGCGGCAAGAGTGCAACAGCCATCCCGAGAAGAACTGACGGCTTTCTTTGCAGGCAGACTCTGGTCTACAAATCTTCAAGCGGCAGCTTCGCGTGCACTTGCCGTGGAAGCCGAGACTGGGTCTAACTTCACGTTCTTGTCAGTGACTAATCGCGGAGCCGCAGCCCTGAACCTTGCACGGCTCGGTCTTGAGTTTCCGGAGGCGGCAGCGACACTTCGGTCCGGCGGAGGAATTCCGGCGGAAAATGACCAGGTCGTGGTGGCTCCGGGTATGAGGTTGCGCCTCACACAGAACGTAGATAAAGAGAGAGGCTTTGTGAACGGGAACGCAGGCAAAGTTCGATGTCTTCTTCGTGCCGACGTGTTCGTGCTTGACTCGGACCAGGGCCTGCCAATTTTGATCCATCCCATTTCACAACAGGGGCGCAAGTTTCTGCCGGTCGCGTACGGTTGGGCTACGACCATGAGGCGTGCCCAAGGGGCCACTCTTCAGAAGGTCGGGTTATGGTTCGACCGCCGACTTCCCGACAGAGGCTATGCTTACGTCGGGTTGTCGAGAGCGAAGAAGTGCCAGGACGTGTTTCTGCTAGACAAAATCCGTCGCACTGATTGGAGACCCGTGGGTGGAGACAGCAATCCCGAAGAACAGAACAAGCTCTCGGTTTTCAGTGAAAGCACGCACAGCAGTGACGTGGACTATGGCTGTTCAGAGTCCGAGGAGGACGAGCCCAGTCTGGATAGCGAATCCACGGAGGTGTCTATGAGTCCCGAAGCGAGCTACTCGTTGGAGATCTCTCCGGAGCAGTCCAATTCCCGACGAAGCGAATCGACCGAGGACAGCAGAGATTGAGGGTAAGGTTGCAGTTTCACGATCTAGATATCCTTGTCTTGTACAGTTCGATGATAGCATCGCAATGACAAGCCGCAGTGGATGCAGAAGATATCTGTTAACTTCTGCTGCTGAAGGATGGACCTTGGACCAGAATATGTGTATATATAGCCACATCGCTGAAGGGTGTTTGTTCTTCGTGATGTCAGAGTATGCTTCGTGTGTTGTTGTATTGGTCCACAGTTGCCGAACATTAGACACAGAAGCTGTCTGATTCTTTTGCAGTTGCTTCGAGCAAAACTATAGGGCGTATTCTGATGCCGTGCGCTCGAGAGTATTTACGATGCCGTGCGAGTAACCTGGATGCAGGTCAATCATGTACACGATGATCGTCGCGCTGAGGCAGGGCATGGTGGCGGCTGTCGGCATGATGTCTTTGTTGCTTTGGTATTTTCACTGAACATGTGCCAGGTTCCTTAAGCTAGGACTTGGCTTTCCTGGGACTGCTTGGTGTTCCCCAACAAGCGATGCTCATGCTCTTTGCTTTCCTGGGACTGCTTGGTGTGACTACCCCCCAATAAGCGATGCTCATGCTCTTGGCTTTCCTGGGAGTGCTTGGTGTGACTACCCCCCAATAAGCGATGCTCATGCTCTGCTTTCCTGGCACTGCTTGGTATGACTACCCCCCAATAAGCGATGCTCATGCTCTTGGCTTTCCTGGGAATGGTTGGTGTGACTACCCCCCAATAAGTGATGCTCATATGATGTCTTTGTTGCTTTGGTATTTTCAATGAACATGTGCCAGGTTCCTTAAGCTAGGAAGAAGTTGTGCCCATTGTTGATAAACAACACCTGAACAAGACGAGGATAGCAAGGAATATAAAGACTCATTAATTAACGAAGTTTCCCGTAGCATGGTTTGATGCTTTTTTTTGTTTTTGTAGTATCTTGCGGCCATGTGTGCTATGATTCTATAAGCTAGAAAGAAGTTGTGTCCATTGTTAACAAAAAAAACATCTGCACAAAGGCGAGATAGTATGCAAAATAAAAAGTATTATTAAAAGAAGTTCCTAAGAAGAATCGTGTTCTATTCGAATATAAAATAAAGATTGTTATTTCGTAATGTGAGGGGAACCTATGGGCGGGTGGGGTTTTGACTTATAATAGCTTGACTTGAAAATTCCAAAGTCAGAGAAGCTGAACCCTAAACCCTAAACCCTAAACCCTAAACCCTAAACCCTAAACCCTAAACCCTAAACCCTAAACCCTAAACTCAGGGGGGGCAGGCCGGTGCGCCCTGACGGCCCACCGCTGCCACCTCCCCTGCCTTTTCGGCGTTTGAAGGCATCGCCACATGCAATATGCCTAAACAGCGCCTCTACTGTCCCACCAAGGTGTATGCCGTGCCACCGCTAAGCATTGGGTCGTCGGCAGTACTGCCCTATAATATATATAATACCCTAAACCCTCTGCTTGCCCAAATTTTGGAATCCTAAATCCTAAAGCTTTAGTGTTTAGGAATAGGGTTTAGGGCCTAAATCCTAAAGCTTTAGTGTTTAGGAGCTTTTTTGGCAATGTAAAGCTTTAGTGTTTAGGAATAGGGTTTAGCGCTAAATCCTAAAGCTAAAGCTTTAGTGTTTAGGAATAGGGTTTAGCGTATATCCTAAAGCTTTAGTGTTTAGGAATAGGGTTTAGCGCTAAATCCTAAGCTTAGTGTTTAGGAATAGGGTTTAGCGCTAAATCCTAAAGCTTTGTGTTTAGGAATAGGGTTTAGGCGCTAAATCCTAAAGCTTTAGTGTTTAGGAATAGGGTTTGGCGGCTGATTTCTGGAAAATCAGAGAAAGATTTTGGAGTGATAAATTCTGTTCATAAAATGTGCATTTTAATTAGGGCAGGGGCCGATCTTGGGGTTCCGCCCATTCTGGTGCCTAAATCCTAAAGAATTGCGCTAAATCCTAAAGCTTTAGTGTTTAGGAATAGGGTTTAGCGCTAAATCCTAAAGCTTTAGTGTTTAGGAATAGGGTTTAGCGCTAAATCCTAAAGCTTTAGTGTTTAGGAATAGGGTTTAGCGCTAAATCCTAAAGCTTTAGTGTTTAGGAATAGGGTTTAGCGCTAAATCCTAAAGCTTTAGTGTTTAGGAATAGGGTTTAGCGCTAAATCCTAAAGCTTTAGTGTTTAGGAATAGGGTTTAGCGCTAAATCTAAAGCTTTAGTGTTTAGGAATAGGGTTTAGCGCTAAATCCTAAAGCTTTAATGTTTAGGAATAGGGTTTAGCGCTAAATCCTAAAGCTTTAGTGTTTAGGAATAGGGTTTAGCGCTAAATCCTAAAGCTTTAGTGTTTAGGAATAGGGTTTAGCGCTAAATCCTAAAGCTTTAGTGTTTAGGAATAGGGTTTAGCGCTAAATCCTAAAGCTTTAGTGTTTAGGAATAGGGTTTGGCGGCTGATTTCTGGAAAATCGGAGGCAGATTTTGGAGTGATAAATTCTGTTCATAAAATGTGCATTTTAATTAGGGCAGGGGCCGATCTTGGGGTTCCGCCCATTCTGGTGCCTAAATCCTAAAGAATTGCGCTAAATCCTAAAGCTTTAGTGTTTAGGAATAGGGTTTAGCGCTAAATCCTAAAGCTTTAGTGTTTAGGAATAGGGTTTAGCGCTAAATCCTAAAGCTTTAGTGTTTAGGAATAGGGTTTAGCGCTAAATCCTAAAGCTTTAGTGTTTAGGAATAGGGTTTAGCGCTAAATCCTAAAGCTTTAGTGTTTAGGAATAGGGTTTAGCGCTAAATCCTAAAGCTTTAGTGTTTAGGAATAGGGTTTAGCGCTAAATCCTAAAGCTTTAGTGTTTAGGAATAGGGTTTAGCGCTAAATCCTAAAGCTTTAGTGTTTAGGAATAGGGTTTAGCGCTAAATCCTAAAGCTTTAGTGTTTAGGAATAGGGTTTAGCGCTAAATCCTAAAGCTTTAGTGTTTAGGAATAGGGTTTGGCGGCTGATTTCTGGAAAATCGGAGGCAGATTTTGGAGTGATAAATTCTGTTCATAAAATGTGCATTTTAATTAGGGCAGGGGCCGATCTTGGGGGAGCCCATTCCCATTCGTGCGCTAAATCCTAAAGCTTTAGCGCTAAATCCTAAAGCCGAGCTAGGGGTTTAGCGCTAAATCCTATAGGGTTTAGCGCTAAATCCTAAAGTGTTTAGGAATAGGGTTTAGCGCTAAATCCTAAAGCTTTAGTGTTTAGGAATAGGGTTTAGCGCTAAATCCTAAAGCTTTAGTGTTTAGCGAATAGGGTTTAGCGCTAAATCCTAAAGCTTTAGTGTTTAGGAATAGGGTTTAGCGCTAAATCCTAAAGCTTTAGTGTTTAGGAATAGGGTTTAGCGCTAAATCCTAAAGCTTTAGTGTTTAGGAATAGGGTTTAGCGCTAAATCCTAAAGCTTAGTGTTTAGGAATAGGGTTTAGCGCTTAATCCCAAAGGCCACACGGAGACCTCAACAATCGCCAGCACTCGACTCTCTTTTTGCGCGAATGCTCAGGGGTGTGTTTGCTGGGGCTACGGGGAATTCATCCGCTCCGTAGCCGCAAGATTGGCACGCAGATGCGTCAACGATTCGTCTAGAACCGCCACACTTTCCGGCAGCGCTGTGTGCTGCCAGCTTAAAAATGGCCTTAGAGGCGCGCAGGCAGGCAATGTCGCCTGTCTATGGACCCTATGAAACGCCAGTCACGATCGTATTGAACTCGTGAGAGGGCCACATAGAGAGCTGCGCGCACGAAAGGAACATCCATCCACAGGGTGACGTGCGGCAGAGTGGCACCCTGAATCTTATGCAGGGTGGTGCTGTAGCCCGGCCGCAGTGGAAAGGCCGTCGTTCTGCTGTTGGATCCATCCCAGAGCTGGCATTCGTGAGTCACGGGGTGAATCAAGAGAACCTTCCCGGCGTCCGTCCTCACCTGCACGCCGCTTCGCCTCATGCGCTGTACCGTTGCTCCCATTCCATTGACGAAGCCATTCTCCTTGTCCGTGTTCCTGGTGATGACCACGCGCATGCCCTGATAGACCGGCATCCAGAAAGGTTCTGCCGCCACCTGCGCTGCGCCTCGGAAATTCTCGAAGTTCTCCTGTGGATCACACGGTATGCGGTCGAGCATTTCCGCGTCCACGAAGAGGGCACGCATGGCGAGCTGGTTGAGTCGGGCGGATCCTCGACGGGTGATGGTGATGAAGGTCGTCCGGGGGGTTTCCTGCAGGATGGTGGCGATGTCCTCTGAATTGAGATCATGGCTGACGCCGGATCGACTTCGAAGATTTGCACGGTGGCCTCTCAGAATCTTCTTCAATTGTTTTCCACTGGGCAGGGTATTTCGCAGCAGCTCCAGCTTCCACTTGAGTTTCTCGCACTTACAGCGACGCATCTCGTGCAGGTACAGGACGTGCATGTCTCGCCACCTGAAGCTGTCTCTCGCCGTGGTGCCGTCCGGTCCTAAGAGCTGACAGAAGTCACCCACGAACACAAGGGCAGTCCGACGGTCGGCGGCGTCCCACAGTCGCAACAACCTTTCGAAGATCCACTCCGGCAGCTGGCCGACTTCGTCGATCACGAGCATGTCGTAGATCTTCATCATGTCGGCCGTTTGGAGTTCGTCTTTGTGCAGCGCGAACATGCCATGCACGGTGTCAATGTCCAGATCCGGATGACGTGCTCTGTACCGGGTTGCCAGCATGCCTGTCGGACACGCAACTCCGACGTGAGCACCTGCTTGAACAGCTCGGTCCAATGCGATTTCCACTGCCGTGCTTTTTCCGCTGCCGGCCGGTCCGAGTACGACGGTCACACTGTTCGCGGCGACGTCCTGTTCCAACCAAGTGGCCCAGCCCTCGACTTCCCGATCCTCCGGCCACTTGGTTACCATTGCATGTTGTACTCGACGACCGACGACGTTTATCACTGTCGCTTGCTCCGGTGCTACTCGAACTTCTGCATGGGCCACCCGTGCAACGCCGTCCAGCGGAGGGGCCGCCTCTCTTTCGACCGT